CATATGAAGTAAATTTGAGGCTTTAAAAAAAATCCCAATTCTATTTAAGTGCGTTTCTATTATGTATGAAATTGAAATTGTTTTTATTTAACAACTTACAAAAACAGAGATATTAAAAAACACACACACACAAGTGGGTGGAAGAAATTTACTAGTTTTTGAGCACAAAACACATTTTTATAAATTTGCCATTCCAGTTTTAGTAACATTGAAAATTATAAGGGATGCACCCACATGAACATTTGGGCCGATATTGATATTCAATTTTAATATTGCTGTTTTGGCTAATAACCGATATAAAATATTGTATATTTATCTGAAAACTTTGGAAAACAAACTGGAACAAGATCAAATAAAATTTTTATTGTTAACAACTGCCTGTTTTTTTTCATCTGACCGAAACAGATATAAAAAAAAAGACTAATATTGACTGCTACCGATGTTATCGCTGATATCGTGACACATTATAATACATGTGTCACACAGGTAAAACTGACAACAAAAAGGTGCCACAGCACAATGCTGCCGCCACCGTGCTTTACAGCTGGCATGACGTTCTGAGGTTTCAAAGCTTCATTTTTACGCCTCTGAACATAATTTCTGTCATTCTGTCTAAATCTCTCAATCCATATCTCTTCTGACATTAAACATATCAGTTAGTCATTAATTTTCACCACACAAGCAGCTGGAAATTTTAAATGACTAATTAAATTTTTAGAAGATCAATTCATAATTGATGTATGTTTTAGATGAAGAATTTTTGTCTTCCAATTTGTGCAAAACAACCCCTCAGCAAGAAGTTTTCACATGTAATTCTTGTCATTGTGGCCAAAAAGATAAACTTCCTATCTCATCAAATGGTCAAGCTGTTTGGTTAGCTCACATTTTTAGTTGTGCAAGAAAGAAAGATGGTGCCATCACTATGATTGGCAATTGGTGCAATGTTGGTTTCAAAGCCTTTCTCAAATATTAATCTTGTCATTGTGGCCAAACAGATAAACTTCTGATGTCACCCAATGGTCCAGTTTTCTTGCTGTATTTATCTGTTTTGGTATCTTAAATTTTGCAAGAAAGAAAGAATCATAGTGGCGGCACCTAGTGGTGCCACCACTATGATTGGCAGATTGACAGATTGGCACTTGGCACAATGTTTTTATGTTTTCAAAGCCTATTCTGACTCCTCCAAACATGATTCTGGTCATTGCGGCCAAACGGATAAACTTTCTGTCTCAACGAACGGTTAAACTTTTCTTCGGAATGTATTTATCTGTTTTGATATCTTCGAACTTTGGTTGTGCAAGACGGTGTTGACTATGGAGCAGGCATCGTCTTCTTTGTTGGGCGTTTCAAAGAAGTTTTGAAACGCCCAACAGCCGTGGTGGTTTTCTGAACATCTCCGGCAATTTCTTTACACAATGTACAGGTAAAACTGACAACAAAAAGGTGCCACAGAACAATGCTGCCACCACCGTGCTTTACAGCTGGCATGGTGTTCTTAGGTTTCAAATCTTCATTTTTACACCTCTGAACATAATTCCTGTCATTCTGTCTGTGTGTCAATTCTCTCCCACTTCTCTAAAAGTCACGGTTGTTGTATTTTGTGTCACTGAGTCATAACAAATCCTTAAAATCCTCTGATAAATATGACATTAATGGCCATCATGACTACAGATAAATATAGAATAGAAGAAGCAGAAACAGGGTTTCAGCATAAACATGTGAGAACTTTAAAGCAAAACTCACTTCCCAAAAAGTATTTCTAGCACATCAAGGATTCAGAAATAAACAGACACAAAGTTAAAAATAATTAGCATGAAGAGGAATACTCTGTTGTCATTTGAGAGCCAAAAGTTTTGGTTGGTGTTATAAAATTCCCACATTAAATATCTGATCATTTGTTATTTGTCATATTACAGACTCAACTGTTATTACATTTTTTCTACATATTGTCACCCAGAAACTCTTTTGATTGAATGTTGAATATAAAATAAGTACGACTTTCTTTTTAAAGAAAGAAGCAAAAAATAATGCAGTTTTGAAGTAAATTCAGGAATCTCCTTCAAGGCGAAGGTTTAATATTTGCAACTTCAAGTTAGCTATGGTGCATTTAATGTTTATGTATTTATCTTGGATGTGCACTGTGTTTACCATTTTTGTAACATACGTTTAGAAAACAATACTCAGTTTAAATGCATTTGATATTTCACTGCTCAGATTCGTTTAATTCATATCGATCGTTCCGGGTTTTGTGTTAATTCACAGATCTTCACATCTGTCATTTTGCGAATGCGAGGGCGGCGTGGGGAACTCACCTGAGCGCTCGCTTTATCTGACCTTTTGGTTTCAGAAGCGGCGTTCTGAATGGATGAGTCAGAGCGAGATCGATCTGTCATTAACACTAAACAGAAGATTGTTTGATGTTATGGACTGCTGTCAATTTCTGCCTCTATTTGACAGAGACGAAAAAGACTCAGCAGGAGAAATACAAACATGCACAAACACAAACATGCAAGCAGTGCTGTTTGTGTTTTGTTTTATAAGTTAAACTTTTGACTGAAAATGGATTGAATAGAGGTGTTTGATTCATATCGAATGAATTTCAACAATATTATAGATGTTAAGTTTGCTAAAATTTCTTTGTTCATTTTTCAGTTAAATTTGGTTTAGTCACAAAGTGATTTCTCCTGATATATAACAATTCGCGCTGCAGCAACCAGTAACTGACAGCCCGCCGTCCTCCATTTTCTGTTGGCGTTGGTAACAGAAATTGATGGACTGATGGGACCAACAGCTTGATTTTCTCTCTCGTTAGAACAAATACAGGGAACCCGAATGTGTCTGGGTCCGAGACGAACAAAGACAGATTACAAATGCAACAGGTTTTGTTTTATTCCCCCCTTAATTAAACTCAATTCTAGGATTTTAGTGCAAGACAGCAAGTCAGTGACAGCATTCATGAATACATTGGTGAAATGAGGATCCAAGCAAAGCTCTTCCACTTTCCCAACAACTTATTTTATTCATTATTAAAAAAAGCAAATCCAGGGCTGTGAGTGCTGACTGTTGTGTTTGCGCCGTGCAGCTGTCGACTCAAATGAAGAGCTGGAGATATCCTCAAGCAGAAAACCAATCCATGGGACGAAACGGGATCCATGTTAGTTTCCCAGCTCTCAGTGACAGATGAAATTAAAAATCAAATGGGGCTCTGTGGTGATGACAACTGCAATTTCACACTTGATACCAAAATAATTAAAGATGACGGATGCTTTTCAGCTCAAAGCCAAGGGTGTGGCCGTGGCTGAAAAGTGACACACGCACGATGACACGGCTATTAAAATGAGCCCAGGTGGCAACATATAACACACAAGGCATGACCTTTCATTTTTAGTAGCTGTACAACTCAGCAGGATCAAGTTTACCTGCTTAAATTAGGTGCATATTGATAAAAAGATTCCTCTGATAAGTCCTAAACACAAGGATGGATTGCATTATGACTGCTTTTGATTTTTTAAATTCACACATAGTGATACTTGTTACACATTAAGAAAATAATTAGCTTATTTCTAAATTCTGCTTTTATTAAAGTTGCTGTTGAGCTCACAAAATGAGACAATCACACCAAACACTATAAATTTTGAAAAAAGGAGACAAATTTCTGCCGCTTATGTCCTGTTTTTGTCAGGTCATGTCGTCACTCTGCAGTCATAAACATGTTTGTTTGGAGATCCATCTTGCTGTGTCAGCAAAACAGTCTGTTATTGGTGTTTTGGTATCATCATTTTTGCCCTTTTGTTATTATTATTATTACTGTTTTTATGAAGTTGCTGATCTTCCAAAGTCTCTAGTGGGAAACAAAAGCTTTTACTTGGACACTAATCCAACTGGAATTTAAATAACTCATCAACAACGATGCACTTTCTGTCTCATTTGTCTTCTAAAACATTGATGTTAAAATGGAATAAAATAAAATAAAATACTTTTAAGAGGTGGCACTGACTGGAGTCTGGTTCCGTTTCCAAAATAAAGGCTGATAACTGGAAGAAGTCCTTTTAGTACACTGCCGCCATCTAGCGGGGATGTTGGAGAACAACATTTTTTAACTCTAGTTCATATTTTGGATACTCAGCCACTGTTCCTGGGTCTGGTGGTGGAGCCCATGTATTTTACGGTTGAAATTCAAAGAACATGACAAGTTTTCGCATTAACATATAAAAGAAGACGTTCACTTCAACTGTAACTTTTAAATTTGATAGAAAAACCTGTTAAGAACAAAAGTGCCACTCGTTTGTTTACTATATATGACAAAACATATTAATTTCAAAAGAACATATTTAATGTAACATTTTATGTCTTTTAATTTATATTTAAGCCTTTAAGATAAGTCCATTCATGCGAACAAAATACACTTTTTTGTCTCCTTCCGACTTCACTTGCATTATGCAACTAGTGTTTGCAATTATTTTACATTAACTATAATGTTTATTAAACTGTGCTCAATAATTTTCTTCTTTAAGGACGGTGAAAAATTATATTCATGTAAACTTATGTCTCTACATATATATATTATCCAATTAGTATGAAAATATCATCTCTGATAAAGGTTTTCTGAAGCGATATTAGAACGATGCCCCAAGATTCCCACTAGATGGCGCCAGTGAGCTAAATTGTCAGAAATGTCAAATGGCTATAAAGTTAAAATCCGTGACTCCTTAAAGTAAAATAAACTAACTTATTATACGTAGCGTGCTTAGAATCTGGTTACATCTAATTTATTATTATTGTTTCGTACTTTATTATTTTTACAAGTTTTTAAGATTTTACACAGCAACATGTCCTGGATGACATCATCCGTGCTAATTCTACTCAAATCTAAGTTTGACTGTAAATGGAAGAAATATCTAATTAAAATCAGACCTTTATGTTTAAAACATTGAATCATTGACTTTATATCCTGTGCAGTTATGTTTTGTGTATGCATGTATTATTTAAGACGTTAGGGCTTTTTAGTATTTCAGAATTTATTTATTCTTCCCAACATTTAAAAATATTTACCAAACATAAGCAGACAAGACTGTGCATTGCAGCACCTCTGTACAGTTTGTACCATGACACCATAAATAAAAATCTATAAACATAGTTTACATACAAATGCTATTTCGAGATCCATTAAAGACAACAAAAATAATCGGTATACAACTTTTACAAAGAGATATCCCCTCATCTCTTTATCCTTTACAGCCCAGTGAAAAAAGCTTTACAGAGCTCCAAAAAAATGCTTTTACATTTTCCATGTAGGTTTATATACATGAAGAAAATAATAGTTTTTTTTTTTTTTTACATTTCAGCAACCTGCAATCAAGGCCTTCATTCTGTGATGCACCAACACAAAATGTTAAAAACATGAAAATAAACTTATCAGCATTTTGCCATCATATTCTGAATCGTTTCTTTCAAATTAATCCAATACCTTCTTCACATCCAGACATTTTGGATGTAATTAAACATTTACGATTTGATGACTGATGAACACTCCTAGGTTTTGTTGAGTTTGGTCAAACTAATAGCCACATTTTGACATTATTAAACTGTGATATATTTAATGAAGAGTCCGTTCTAACTCTCTGGACATAATTAACCACGTCTTAATACCGAGATTATGTGTTCTATACGGTCAAACTGATTTATTACTGATCCTGAAAAGGGTGAAATTGTTGCAGAGACAGAATGCAGGAGGTACTTTGAGGCACCAGTGTGTTGAGGAGCTAAAAGTAAATAAAGATGAAATCTGGCATATCAAAAAATGTAGAACACTGAAGAACAACAGTTTGATGAGGTGAATATTTAATTATTTGCTGGTTCTATTCTTTGACGTCATAAGTGCTAATTTGGTCAAACTATGACTCGATTCAGACATGATTTTTGATGCTCTGAAAGTCTATACTTCAATTTTAAACAATTAGGATTTAGTGAATTGAACAAAAAAATCGACTCAAATGTGAAACATCAACAAAGATGTCATTACAGATATTATTTTTCCTGGTTTCTGTACTACTGGCCACTCATCTAGTTTTCCTAAGAACTACTTTACCCATGAATCCTTACTGAATGCCTCTTTCCACTTCAGCTTGTTAAATGCCAGTCACTTAACCAGCCTGAAGAATAAATGAAAACAAACATCCGAGGAAACACAACCAACACAGAAAAACCTGCAAAAATATAAAATAACAAAAACTGTCTGTACCTCAAGAGTTTTATGAAACATCAGCTGCCTGACACTACAGTCCTTAAGAATGATCGACGTAAAAGGTGAATGTCAATAAATTAAAATATAAAACAAAAAATATATATTTCATCTGAATAAAAAAGCTCAATTCAGGAAAAGATTTATTACATGCAGAATCATTTTAGTTAATTTAGTAGATTTTGGTTTTCCACCAAAACCCAAAATTCAGTGTCTTAGAAAATTTGACCAATTAAAAACTCAATTCAGAAATGTTTTATAATGGTTTAATTTATTAAGATCCACCTGTACAGATTAATTTAAATAGCAAAAGTTCATTTTTTATGGATGGCGAGTCATTTTGGTGACCAATATGTGCACAGAGTTCAATAAACAACTCTTGACAAAAATCACATTTTGTTGTTTTAAAATGTGCAAAATTGATGCCAACTACAGTAGAAAAAACAAAGTAACACAAAACATTCTAAAGCAGCTTTAGTTCAGGATTTAAAGGAAAATAAATCCAACTGCGGCGTTAACAAATTCCAATAACCTGTAAAAAGAAACGCAGTAATATTTATTTTTTGTATCCATTACCGTTAAAATTTAGTTTTCGTTCTTTATGTTTGCTAAACCAAAAGGCACATCACAGGGCCTTTCTAGAAACTGGTGATCTACGTTTTACGACGACACATCTGGACAACAAGTTGTGACATCCTTGCTCAACAGGGGGACAGGACACATGTGTGAGAGGTCACTGACCTTTGGCCTCACTCTCCACTTAAAGCTCTAAACGCGCTGCGTTCTCAAACATCCCTTTATGATTGATCAGCAGGGTTTTTGTTTTCTATTTAAAATGTAGCTCAAACTATTCTGGTTGTGGGAATATTTACAAGCATCAACGTTTGCCCAGAAACAATGGAAAACAAACAGAACACCTTATTTTTATTATTATTAGGTATTTTTCTTCATCAGGCACTTGTATGAATGATGCTGGAGTTTACTTCTCGTACCTTCAGACTTTCAGAAACTCCAGTTTGATAAAGATACGCTTTTCTCTAAATGAGAACTAATTCAGAAGAGAAAAATAATCAGAAACTGAAACGTTTGTCTCGAAACAAATCAACTGAAATTCAATACACTTGGCTTCTTTTTTGACCTGAATAGGGGAATTAGGGGACAGAATTCCTATTGTTGAAAACAATATTTAAAACCAGGAAACTAAAACCCATATTTCGACCAAAAACACCTTAAATGTTCATGTGAAACCAAACTGCTTCAGTCTCCAACTGGACTGTACATGGCTCATTTTAACAACGTGAACGTAGCTTAGCTTAAATCATAACGAGACTCGACGCTGAGATATAATCTGCCTCCATTTTGTAAACTATATTCCTGAAGACAATTTGTTTCTCCTCATAAAACAAATGCCTCAAGAAGAAAAAACGACAACCCTAAAGATAAAAATCCAAGTTGGTTACAGATGCAACGTGAGGGATTTTGGATGTTGGTTGAAAGGTTACAGATTAGAGATGCAACGATCAATCTGACAGGGATTAGATATGTCTATTTTCCTTCATCAGCTCTCAGAAAAATAACCAAGAACTCCCAACAGAATATGTGTCATTATGAACTTTTTTGGGTTTAGTAGAAATCAGATGAAAGTTTGAAGCTAGAGACTTCAGATCATTCAGAATAATCTTAATTTTTTAGAGATTTTAGAGACTGATTGCTGCATCTCTCTTGTGAATGACAAACAGCGGCTGCTTGTGGAAGACAAACTAGATGTTTTCAAACTGCGGCATGTCGTCGTGTCTGAATATTGTGGCTCAATCTCTCATCAAAATGTCTGAAGCTGCTGATTTTGTTTCCTCAACAGTCATCAGCATCGTAATAAATAAAAACGAGCAGCAAGGATGTAAAGAAACATGCCGACTAAACATGGAGGGACGCGGAGAGGAAACTTCTCTGGCACGTCACAATCGGCTCGTCTAATTTTTTTCCTTTTTTTTTTAAAATCCCTAACAAACAGCACTTGCCTTCAGGCTCAGTCCGGAGCAGGAGAGAGAACCTGCTGCTGCGAGGCCCGAGCGCCTCCGTTACACCACGAACTGGTGGTTGCTGCTGTGGTTTGCCGTGTAGGCCTGCCGGCTGTACTGGAAATGGTCGGTCAGAACGTTGTTCCAGTTCTGCTGCTGTTCGGAGCCGTAGAAAGGCCCCGACCCATTCGCCTGCGTCTTCTCCAGCACCGGGTTGTCAAAGGACAGGAGGTCCTGCGTGCTGGTGGGCAGCTTCTTCTTCTGCTTGTTGGCGTCGTACTTAGCCTGACGACAAACGAACAAATGAGAAAGTTTAAATAAAATCATTTCCTATGAAGCCAGTCTGTGCTAAACTGAAACTAAATAAATTGGGAGAATCATGGAAGAATAAATAACATCAAAGTAGCGCTAGGCGATGCCGTTTAAAAAAAAAAAAGTCAGATTTTTTCAAAACAGATAAGCTGAGTTTGTGTTGTTTGTTCTTCGAAAAGAGTTGTTCGTTTATCCAATCGTTTCAAAGTCCTGCCACTGATGATAATTTGATGCTGATGTGTTGAAAGATGAAGCATTTCATTATCTTCAAACTGAGACCAAAGCATGTTTTAATTTGTTGTTTTTGTCATGTTGCAATTCTCATAAAACTACTACTTCATTCTCCTAATATCATGACTTTGTTTTGTAACAATACATAAATAAAGAAGTCATAGTCTCTAATATTCAAAGCCCAAATAAACAGAAGCTTTAAAAGATGCAATTTATTGTCCAACCCTACTGAGAAGTATTAGGAGTGTTAGGATGAAATCTTAAAACCTTTCTCCTAATAGGAGTTTAATCTTTGCATTTGAAAGTTATTCCCCTAAATTTTTAAGTCTCTAAAGAAGCTAAATGTCAGCTGAACAGGACAAATGTGTGAAACGTTAAATGTTATCTTGATTATACATGATAGAGGTAGATTATTGATTATATTGTTACTGAATATGACTGAATGAGATGCACCTGGATGAGAAAGAATCACCTTGTTGTAGAGGAAAACCCCGAGAATGGCCGTCATCATACCCAGCACGTTGGTGAGCGTGACCGGGTTGCGCAACATTAGCAAAGATATGCTGATGACCATGATCCTCTTGGTGGCGTTGGCGACGGCGTAGCTGAGAGGGCTGACGAGGTTCAGAATACTGAAAGCGATGACGTTCTGGGCAAAATTACAGAAGCCGCTGATGAGGAGGAGGAAGAAGGTGCCGGTCCATCCCGAAATGTCCGACTGAAAGGGAGGCAGAGAATCCCTGTCTTAGGTTCATTTTATGATTAACTCCAAAAACAAAACAAAAAAAATTCTAGTATTGTTACTCACCAGATCCCCATTCACAAGAAACACAGAGAAATCCACCAGAACCCAGGTGGGAACCATGAAGAACATGGCGTTAAAACCCAGGACGTTCAGGAGCCTCAGGTGATGCACACCTGTGTCACGCAGCACCTTCAACAGAGAGGAGGAAAAAGACAAAAAAACTCCTTAAAAAGAATTAAAAAATGAATAAAACACAAAACCACTTTAGTAAACAGTGCAATCATTTCTTTTTTATCATTATTAAGGATTTACTGACCTAACAATCTCCCATGTTTTGCTGAAAAGTAACTTTTAGGTCAGTTTTATTCCAAGTGATTGAATATATTTGCATAAGAAAATAGACAAAATAAATACAATTGTTTTCAATTCAAAAATAATTTATTATCCCTTCATTTATCCCAAAGGGACATTAAATTAAATTTGCAGTTACAAACAGGACTAGTTGAAATGCTCATATTATCCCTTTAAATGAACTTTTAAATTAGAATAAAACTCTCATATTTCACAGTGAACTACTGAAAATAACTAAGTGTCAAAATATCACCAAAAAGAGTTTAAAAACAGATTCTTTCTGTTTCAGCTGAACCTGAGTGTTGATTTAACCTTCATGCTGAATGTGAAGAAGCCTCACCTTTTTAGAGAAGATGTTCTGCAGAGAGAAGCAGAGCGTGGCAGCGAGAGCGCTGATTAATCCTGAAACGTCAAAGGAAAGCTCAGTGACGGTCGCCAACAGCACGCCACTGATGATCGGGATGAGAGACACGTAGACCTGCAAAAACCAGATCGGGTCGGAGGAAAGAGTCAAGATCTAAACATAAATCAATAATAACTACTTCCTGTGCTGAGCCAGGTTTCATTTCCTACTGCAAGTGTTCCTACTTCTCAGTTACTCCAATAAATGATGTTTAAACAAAATGGTTCTGATAATTAAAAGTACAATTTCTTTGTTGTTTTTTACAGTTTAATTTCTAATGATCTATGCCACAGTTAAATTAACATTTGAATATTGTGAAGTATAGGTTTGTCAGGCTAAATGTTGCTGAACGATGAATTGTTCCAACAATTATTGCAATAAATGATAATATTGTTTTTAAGACCATTGTAAAGTAATGGTCTTGTGATGTACTAGTTATGGCTTAATAATGCAAATTTGCCTCTCAAAGACCTTCAGTTAGCTTTATAATTTGTTCACAACATATTTTATTTTTATTACACACCAACTCTTCGCAGAATATGTGGAATTAATGATTACTGCCAAATAAAAGAGGGGAAAAATACTAAATGAGATTTAAAAAAAAAATTATTTAAAATGTGAATGGAAAAGGAAATAAAATGATTAAATCCTAAATACATACAGATATTTTATCATCAGGTCTTGTTTTTCAAGATAATTTAGACTCAAAACTAAAATTAATTAGTTAAAGACTGTTTATTACCTTCAAGAAACAATAAATTAATCAAAACAACAAAAAACGAGCCAGAAATTGAAGAGGCATTTTTATGCATCAACTGTATTCGAGAAAGCTCTTTCAAACTATTTTTCATAATCCATGCAATGCTTGTGATAAATGTGAGAGAATAAGAAGCACAGAAACCCAAACAAATTTTTCCATCCACCAGGGACGACACCTCAACGGGGGAAACCATCATTACAGACACCAGATCATTTGCATAGTCCTGAGAAATGCTCATGAGAGACGAGCTTTGCTTTTCATGAGATGCACCTGTCACTAAACTCAGCCTGAAACTGAGAAAACACAGATTTAATAAAAACAAAAAACTAAATAACACACTATTATTTATTGATTTAACAGCACTGTGATGCAAAAGTGTGATGAAGATTTGGCACAAAAAGAGAAAAAGGTTCAAATCTGAATGTTTACTGCTGACAGAGATTCTTTCACATGAACAGAAATGTAAAGAAAGGTAAACTCCTTTCCCCCATTAGTGAAACCACTTTGTCTCAGCGCTGAACTGCAAAGTAAACATAACACCCTGATGTCAGACACATAAATCTATTTTCTGTTTAACACACAGAAATGTTCCTTCATCAGAATGGGAAACTGAGGAGCGTCTCAGAGCTGACATAACATCTTCACTTCACCTGCAGAGCTAGAAGTCAGAGGAAATGCTCGACTTTGTCAGAAACTGTGTAAAGATGTTTTATGTTTAAAGTAAAGAAATACAACAGCAATGCAAAAACACAAAATCTTACCAAGTATTTATGGTCTCGTTTGTGCTGCAAATATGTCAGTACACTTGAAATAAGACAAAAGTAACTCAGCAAGATACAGGTGCTTGTTTTTAAAAAACAATTTACTAACATTGGCGAAACGTATTAGTTCCGCTGGCAGATTATTTCACTTATAACACATGAAAAATGTGCTGTTATCAGTGAAATAATCTGTCAGAGAAACTAATACTTTGTCATTAACACAGAGGAATAATGGACTTAAAACAAAATGCTATATCTCACTGAAAAGTTAATTGAAAGTTATTTTTATCTTATGTCAAGCACACCAAGATATTTACACCAAAAATACTTGGTGAGATTTTGTGTTTCTGCAGAACTAAGTTTATTTGGAGGTTAGGAGTGAAACAGGATTATTTGGTTTTTTCTTTCTGCGCAACTTCACTGCAGAAAGAGCTGGCTGGCCTTTGAAGGGTCACTGGTTACCCGCCGTTTTACCATTAGCCAGCATGCTATCACAGTACAGAGAACCAGGAAATGACTCAAAAACATATCGATATGGCTTTTTGATGTGCAAAGTGAGAAAAATCTGTAAACAAAGATATGATCTAAAGGACTATACGCCAAACAAAGCCCAGAACGGCTGGTAATGATGAGAAATAAGAGCCTGATTTTAGTCAGCGGGGCGAAAACGTTCCAGTTTCACCTGATCTGGAAAGACGAAACTGTTTCACAGAGATCACTCTTTTCCCATCTGGATTGTGTGTGAGATATTGATTACATCTGAATAATTTGAAAATCTGAGTGTCTTAGTTTAATGTATACAGTTATTATATCACTGGTCTTTCGCTTTTAGATCTTAGGGATTTTTTTTTTACAAGCATTTTTGTTTAAAAAAAATGTCAACAGAAAATATTCACCTCATACAGGAAAATTTAAAGTTTCTTCTCAGTCCAAAGTCAGTGAATTACAGTTTTGTAATTGATAAACTACTGATTTTATGAGATTCTCAGCCTTGTCTGCAAAGTGGCAAAATAACTGATGGATGCAAATGTGGATTAAAACACAAATATTTAAAATAAACTTGATTCCATAACATTGTGCCACAGAGAAGCAACTTTAAAACTTTTGGATTGTTTCATATGATTCAATTAAATGTCACTTTTCATGTGAATACAAGTTTGAAGCTGAAATCCTGAAATAACTAATTCTTTATGATTTTATATATGTTACAATGGATTCAGTTTATGTGTTAGCCTTTTCTATAATAAATAAAAACACAAGATGGGGCACATAGGATGGGGAAAATAAGCTTCTAAGCTTATTTTTATGAACTTTTATCCAAAAAGTTTTATCCATTTTTATTCAACATAAAAAAAATGAATAAATCAAAGGTCATAAATCTCCTAACGCCACACAGGCTGTAGAGAGTTAGGAGTCTTTATATTTTATGTTATTTTCACTCTGTGGTCTGTTTTAACCACCAGTTTGGATGCTACAACAACTTGCTACAACAACTCACTGAACAGTTTTTCTTTTTTTTAAAAAGGGAACAATCTATTTGACAAAAAACAGAAAAATCCCTCCAGGTTTAAATGCAGTGTGGTGCGAGAGTCCAAATATCATATTGACTTAACACCGGATTTCCTCGTCTACAAAGATATTTACGATGATGTGCTGAAGTCTGTTGGTAAAAATGAACTGCTGGTTCACTCAGCACAAATTCCTCAGTCTTAACTTTCATTCGAGAATCAACCTACGTAAAGCCTCCTAAATGTCAGATATAGAATGCAGGAGCTGATGTGGATGACCTCTGACCTCCTGGAGAATGCCAGTGACGGAAGCTTCAGAAGGCGGCTGCAACATGAGATGCACCAGAGGCACAGTAGGCTCGCTGTGCCACATCACCGCTGCCGAGTCGCAGCCTGAAACAGAGCAGGACTTGTGCTGCGTCTTATGCTCCGGACCTACTCACCTTTGTAGTTTGCTTCTCCCTCATTATAATTCTCGACAGCAGCACCACCCATATTGGCATTGTGGCTTTGACTGTGAAAGAGACAAAGGGGGAAAAATGGGACGGTGTCAGTTTTAAAAATAATAAGAACTGTGGTTCTGCAGCAGGGAGAGAACGAACCGATTACGTCTGAGCTGTAAAAAGTTAATGGCAGGTCAGAGCTGGGTGCACACCTCTGTCAAATAACACAAAACGTCGGTCACTGAGTCACGCCTTGACAGCGATGCGTCATGTTCCCACCAACTGAGAAGAATAAATGGATCCTAAACAATGTTGATCATCCAGATTCACTGCACAGTTCTTATAATAGGAAGTAGGACTATATATATTTTGATTTATTCTCGCAAAAAATACAGTTAATGTTAAAAAAAAACCCAGATTAACTTTATATTTTTACTATTTTTTCTAAGACCAAACATGAATCAATAAATTTAAAAAATCTGATTAAATAAAGCCACTATGTCCAATTTAATGATTTAAAACATTTCTTAAATTAGCTGGTGTTTGGCCACTATGAATGCTTTTCCATGCAGTTACCGTAAAAAAGTAATTCATAGTTTTTTATCATAATTTTTATTGCTATCATAAAATAAAATTACAATAGATTTTTCCCTATCTGTTAATCAACTTGAACAATTTAGTTTAAAAAATAAAAATAGAATAAAAATCAGAATAAAGACATGTTGTCGTGCAAAAATAGGAACTTCAGCATGTAAAACCTTCCTTATTTTGTTGAATTCAAAACAAAGTCAAAGAAAAAATAAATCAGGTTTTTTTTCTCATGTTTTCTAGTTTAAAAAATGATCAAAATCAGAAAAATCAATAAAAATCTTATACAAAATGCTTATTTGCAAGAAAATGGCTGATAGTGGAATCTCTAACGAAAAGACAATGTAACATAAAATCTTCAGAAATAACACACAACTAACTAAAATCAGATATAGAATTTCAACATTGAATAAGGAAATCTCACGGCCATGTTAATTACAGAGAAGATGGGTGATAATATCAGCAACAATGGTTATATGTCATGGCAGCAAATTATTTAAATACTGTAGTTAAACAAGAAACAAAAAACTAAATTAACAAGCAACTTAAATGAACATGATATCGCCATTGAAACTGTCCACACTGAAGATGAGGAGTAAAATGTAAAATAAAAAGATGAGTGGAGGGATAAAGTGAACTAGAAAAATGCTGGCCCTTGACTCACTGGCTTTCTAACCGTACAGTCACACAGAGATGTAAAGAGGAGATGCAAAAGCAAATAAGGTGGATTAGCAGTGCATGCCAAACACTGAGGGTGTCTTCCTGGACATATAATAATGAAATATTGTCTCTGATGTCTAGATACTGAACTGTTATGTTAAGACAGTTATAAGCAACAGTCTTCAGTCAGAGGCCTCTTCAGATTCATTGCTAGACTGACTGCTGCCAGAGATCCTTCCTTGCCCACATTATCAATCACAAAGACTCTTTGAAGATTCTTGAATAATAAGAGTTGCATTTAAATAGAAAAAAATTACAACAACATAATTATAAATCAGCAATATTTAGGTTGAGAAAACTATTTTCCTAATCTTTTTTTCAATATCAAACTTACAACACTAACGCACTAGGTTAATATCCCTTTCACAGACAATATATAATGTTTATGGTGTCTTTTTAATCTACAAATGGCTCCTTATAAACTGTAAGTTTGTGGCTACAGTCTTTTTTTTTTTTTTTTGTTGGTCAACAACCAAAAAAAGACATGTTTTTTTTTGTTCTCCTTTTACTGAATTACTCAAGAGTAAAACTTAATATACAGAAGCAAAAATAAAAAGCACGGAGTAGTAAAACTACTCCTAAAAGAAATATTTTCTTCAAGAAAGTTACTAAAGTAACTTATACCCACCTCTGCATTTAATTTTACCAGTGAATCGGGGCATTTTCAGGATCACTAACAGATACTCAGTTACCCTGAGTTTAAAAGTGAAGACGCACGCTACTCCTCCCCCTTGACGTATTTCAGCTTTAATTCAGATGGCTAGCAAGCTAACAGCTGGTATTTTACCTAAAATTACTGTAAAAAATACAAAAGTACAGTCAAAGGCTGTATTTTAAAAATAATTAGTGAAATAAAAGCTTTTCTGTTTGGGATCTACTTGACGCTGCTGTCTGCCAGACTCTTTAAATGCCCTTGTCGGCAGTTGGCCAGCCGTTAGCCGCAAAGCTAATATCAGCTGACGGTAGAGACACATCATCAAGTTGCCCCGGATAACAGGTTCCAGCTGGCCGGATTTAACATTTTACACTCACCTGTGTGTGCATACGAAACGGGCACCTTCCATATGCTGAAGTGAGCCGAAACGGACGCGAAGTATTTTCCGAAAGCCAAAGGGAGGATGTACCACCGATAGTACCTGCTCGGCAGTTCAGTTTTGGGGACTCCCCATGCCCTCAGCAGCGGCGGGAGGAAGACGACAACGGAGATGATGTGGAACAGAGAGACCGTGACGGGATACGGGAATCCGTTGAGGATTATCTTGTTGATAACGTTGCCCCCGGAGCTCACCGTGTACCAAAACACACACAGGACAACTATCCGAATCCCTTCCCCGACCGGGGTCCGCGCCACCGCAGCCATCTTTCTGCGCGGAGTGACGAGTCACCACCGGTGTGTGTAGTTGTACCGGGGCGCAGTAAGCTCCGTCAGACCGTCAATTAATGAAGCGTTCTCCTTCCGGTCTCCGATTTCAAAATAAAAGAAACTACAACCGCATTTCAAGAATGTACGACACAGCTTCACAGAATGAAATATTTAAAGCGTTTATTTCTTAAAATAACCTTATTTTCTGAAAGTTGAATTACACAGATTTACATCATGAGATTGTCTAAAAATCAGTAAACAAAAATGGATCCATCCCAATATTTACAAGGACAGACGAACAAATTATTCAAGATTTTTTAAAATCTAAACAAAAAGGTATGTCAATAAGTTATTTTATGTTTAATTTAACTCATACATGTAAAGTACAACGTCTACTATAAAAACTTTTTATTATATGGCTAATTATATATGGTTAGTTACATTACCCATCTTGTCAAATTGTTTTGTCAGGTTTGTTTTGTCAAGTTTTCATGACAGTAAATTGGAGAAAGAAACAAAACATTCTTACCTATTTTATTACATGATTTAAATTTTAATAAATTCAACCTGAAAGCCTACAGTATAATGTATGTCAGAGAGAGACAATTTTAATTGGTATTTAGAAGAATGGGGCAAGTTACATTATTACTGTTGAATCAATCAATTAGAAACACATCATTAAGAAATCTGTGAACAGTAAGGAGTAATCATGGAAGACAGTATGTATGTGGTTAAAACCTCTTGCTCTGTGCTAGATCTGGCTCTTAAATAATTTTAACAAACATTCGTTGGGACTGATGTTTTAGCCTTCTTACCAGCTTTATCTATCATCTTCCAACATACTTTGAATAACCCAATGGCTAGACATGTCATTTATATTTGTGACTGTTTTAACAGAGTATCAACAGAAGACTTGCAGACCAACACGGTGCTGCCATGTTGGATTATTTTTGTTTATTTATCTATGATGTCACACAAAGATGCATCATATTTGAGATGTGGCCAAAGATGTCTCCCCGGTTGTGCTTCTCTTTCTCTCAGATTTTGTGAATTAATCAGATACTTCCCCCCCAAAAAACAACAAAAAACAAAAAACAATGAAATTATCACCTGGCCTTCTACAGTTTTTTTTAAGCACAACAATCTTAATTAATCTAAGCTTATGTTAATAAATATAGTAATCATTATTCTTGCTTTCAGGAAATAGAAAAAACTGACCTGAAAAAATAGGTTTAGTTTAATTTAATGTCGGTAAGGAAGGAAAAAATGGTGTACTCTGTATATAATGGATGCAAATTTCAACTGCAGATAATAATGACAGGGTTTTGAGGTCATTTGCATACAGGGCAAGCAATTGAGATCTGATCACTTAGGCTGGTGTCCAGACTTTGTTCTGCACAGGTCGAAATTGTCAAGTTTAAAGTAGGCCTATCTGCAGCTCACAAACCTATGTACATGCAAAAATATATATTTTATTATATTTATGAATCTTTTTTCTTCTAAAGCACTTGAACTTCTCATGGTTTTCGGAAGGCTTTTTGCCCACATGCAGAACACTCTCGAGAAGCAAAATGAAAAGTGAAAAAAGTTTTATTGAATAAATAAAGTTATGAATGAATGGGTTGAGTTTTTTTTTTGACTGGCGACTTGGGGAAGACAGGAACACTGGAAGCAGAGTAATTAGAGAGGTGAGTGGGCAGCAGAGCAGTCACAATAGTGCTGGTGAAAACAATCTGGTTCTTACTGGTGATGAGGATGATGGTCTGCCAGGGGCGTGGGAGAAACTGAAAGGATCCAGGCTTGGGCTTGATGCAGCTCCAAGACTCCATCTGGTGGAGAACCTGAACAAGCGGAAGGAGATGAAAACCCCACACAAAACCCAAAACCCCGACTCACAACAGAACTCACTTTATTTAGAACACAACTCAGTGGATTGTTACGGTGCTACTTATAATAAAAAAGAAACTGAAAGCAAGTAAAACATGATTAATAAAAGACAAATACTTTGTGCTGGGTCAAACGTTTTCCATTTTGAAACGTATTGTAATTTATTTGTGAAAACATACATTAGTTGCCTGTTGTAGTGGGACATTTGTAATTCGCTTGAACTTAAATGCTCTTAACTAAAGCTGTACAGTTGCAAATGAAACAGTCCTAATGACAACAGCATGAGATTAATTTAGGACAAATTAAGTTTTAAAGTATCTGCATGTCGTTACATACGGTTATCAAATGCTAATCGGAAAACAGGATATTTTACAAAATGAAAATACAAAACAAAAGCTGAATGGAACATCCAGCACAGATAAGTTATAATTTTCCTAAAATTTTTACCAACATTTCACATTTTGTAGACTTGATCAATTAATTTCCTTCCGAGCTGAACCAAGTTTCAGTCCAGGCAGACGTAGGGCAATATGTTTAGTCTGCTCTCATCTCCATGCAGATCTAGAGAGATGCACTCCGTCCAGTCATACCAGTTACCCTTGGTGTCGTAACACCCGTTAACTCCGGACCAACGCCGCCTCTGTAATCGGGTCAGGTCTTCACTGCTGATTTCTCTACTAACTCCAGGTAACTCTTTGACATGATGGTCTGATACCAGTATGGAAGTTTCTGTGGTATTCCTCTTCTGGTGATCCGCTCTTTTGCAAACCTCCGACATGAAAAGGTTGTGTGCACCAGACGACGACAGGATGTTGCTCTGCTGGGTGAGGTATGACTGGATTATTTCGCTCCTTGACTGTTCTTTCCAGTGCGTCTGCTGGAAGGGACTGGGAGGAATGGGTTGATTCGGCTTCAGCTGGAGTTCAGAGACTTTCTGTTCTTCTGAAGACTCCTTAGGGCAGATGCGTTTAATTTGTCCTGTTAATGGATCAAATGTGATCCTTCTGTCTTTTAACCTCACTGGTTTGCTTTTGTCTTCTGTAATTGGGCCATTCAGGTTCACAACATAATCTTTACCCCTGTATTTTTCTCTTTTCATCTTCACAGCATCATTAGTAATAGTCTCATCATCCAAACTTGAAGTCCTGCTTTGAAACTCCAAATTTGCAGACCCTGAGTGGTTTATGTGAACATTAAGTGTCTGAGCAGATTCCTCCGCCTTCACACCTGGATTTCCACTAGTTTGTGTTTTTTTTATTACAGCTTCTTGCTTTAGACTCTCAGGATGTTGCAACAGACAACCAGGGCTTCTAGGTTGATGTTTATCCCATCTAACCTGCTGTTGCATAAGCATGTTAGGAGGGTTGCTATACACAGAGGCACTTGCATGAGGTTTGACAGCATGAACAGGAACTTTATTTGATTTACTATTGTCCAGATACTTAGACGTATTCCTGTCTGATGGTTGGTGTGCATTAGTATTTGCAGGAATTTTAAAATTCCCACCAAGTCCATTAGATGGCTGCTGTTTTGTGTCATCATGAGCGACTCTGGGTTTCTTCGTTTGACCCTCTTTCTTGTCACATCTACGTTTCCTGTTGCTCATCGGTTCAGAATTTGGAGAGCAGTTGTTGAAGTCACTTCTGGCCTTTAACTCTGAGCCTGTTTTGCTCAAAACTGGAAGAGAAGAACAGGGGTAACTGCTGCCTTTGGAAGACCAACATGCACCAGTGAGTTCTTTGGACACCAAGCCATCCTGACCCGGGTCGATTAGCTTCTGCCAGGTCCGAAGGAGCTTCTTGGCTCTTTTTGCAAGATCCTCATTCTTGGTTTTTTTCCGGATGTCATTAATCAGCTTCCCAAGGCGCGTCTCCTACAACCAAAACATCGCAGATTATATTTTGACTTCAAAAAGAGTTGCTTTAATCAGATTTTTGTACTTTAACATACCTCCAGTACTTCTTTGGTGATGGAGTATTTCTCCAAACTGGAAATCACTTCCACAACCACCACCATGTTGCGTATCTGCTCAGAAGACAAAGGTTTACAATGTAACAAAGAAGTTTCTAATGAAAATGTGAGCCATCAACTTCAAAAACCTGAAAATAATGGATTATTTGAACCAGAATCATCAAAACAAACAGAAATAAACACTTTATATACCGTGTATATATATCACTTTTGAACTGAAAAAACAATAAAGTTTCTGATTGCATCCTAATTTATTGACATTCACTAATAAGTCAATGGACTACGGAGTAAAAACAGGGGTCATTAGGACAAGCATTCATTTGCTTAGAGTCTCAAATGTACAGCTGCATTTCATGAAAATATGTACCGATACTAGTTTCGGGATCAAAGTGACTAGCAAAGACAAGAACATGCAAATATTATCTTACTAGCAGAGAGAAGCATAAAGATTTAAATAAAACCCTAAACAATGTGTTAGAAAGGAGGCTTATTTATCAGAAAGGTGTAAAATATTACTACTGATAACGGATGTAGTGATTTAAGGAAACCTCAACCTGGAAATTACTAGTAAAAGTATCAAAAAAGAATAATGCAGCACATGTCAAAATACCAATGATATCATTATGGTTTTAATTATTAATATTAGAGTTAGACTGAGTTAGACTGGTGGAGTGCACAAGTAAAACAACAGGAAGTCCCCATGTTATGTAATTATAACAGCATCATATACACTTAGTGTTCCTGCACATAATCACGTTTTATAAACACGGGTATATTTCACAAATATAATTCTTGAATTATTATGTATTGCTTTTGTTGTTTGGTTTTGGTTGAAAGCATAATCAGTTTCATAACATCATTTTGAAACCAACAAATTATGAACATGACTGTGCATATTTTTTGAAACATCTCTTTGTCCTTCCTAGCAGAGGCTGCAAAAATGTTAAATTTTTCTGAATTCAAATAAATACAAATAATAAAACAGAAACGACTGGAATATTAAGAAAATAATGATCAGGATTTGGATGAATTTACTGTGGTCAGAGCAACAGCAGCTCTTAGTAGAAAATCTTTTCTTTGGGTTTGTTGTTGTATTTATTGCCCTGAAATGTCATTAGAAAATAAATAAAACACACAAAACATTAGGACGTTATTGCTTGTCAATCTAATAAGATCTGAATATAGTTAAAACAAATTTTTTGCAGCCTGAAATAAATGACTGAGTCAAATTATTTTTATTGTTATTTTTGCTTCAAAAACATTAAAAATAGTCTGGAAATGGATCATATTGCTGAAGCAAAAAAAGCAATTAAAACAGACATGCAACACCTCGTAAAGCTCCACATGCATGAATTGGAGAAACTTTTGACCCACTGGGTCTCAGAACCTATTATTTACTCCTTCTTCATTCTGTTTCCTCTGCTGTAAAACTTAAAAAAAAACTCACGTTGCTCTGGCCGTCGATGGCCTGCAGCAGCCGGTCCCTCATCACCCGCGGAGTGGCCGTGGCCGCTGACATCGCCCGGTGGACACCAGAATCCCTCTCGACACAACAAAGCGTTTGGAGAGCCCAAAGATATTCTTTCGAAAGCGGGCATAACGTCCAATGACGTCGCAGTGTTTGTGTTCACTCCCCGGCGTCACCTGCTTGGTGAATCCGCTGCAGGAGTCATTGAACTGTCCACCTCCGCCTCCGCCTCCGCCTCCTCCCTGGTCCTCCGAACTGAACTGGCTTTCCGTGAGGTACGTGCGAACAGCATGACGGGAACTATTTACGTAACCACTACTGGAGGGCTTGCGTGACCATGCTTGTCGTTCGCGAGACAAGAATGGAGTCAGACGTCATGCTGGTGAGAGACGCCATCGATGCGTACGTCAGTCATTCCGCCATATTGTGAGTGGCTTGTTCAACTCTGACAAGAAACACGAAAGCTAGCATTCAACTTAATAGTTTTAGTTTTCTCAATAATATTATTTATTTTAATACTATTAAAAATAAAATAATTTTGATGATTTTATTATCATTAAAAATAACAATATTTAATGATTTTAAATATTATCATTGTTAATAAATATTATTTTTTAAGTTACATAGCCTCCAATAGTCAACCAAATGCTTATCTCCAATCAACTTGCAAACCCACTTGAGCCAATCATTTGTTCATTTTCATGCCTGTGATTTGATCCAGATTGTTAAATTAGACTCTATTTTGTTGATCCTCTTCTATCTGGTTGCAGAAATCCTGCCTAACACACTTAACTTTGATTACGTCCAGAGTCGTGATTGAAAATCGAAGATCGTTTGCTCTGGTCTGTTTGAAGTGGTTCCTGTTTCAAAGTCCAGCTGAATGTCGGTGCATTCAGGTGCTGAGGCTGTCATATTCGTGCACCCAAAATGTTTTGCAGAAACTAAATCAAATTAGAGTGTATTTATTTATCACAGTGTGCACTCGGAGATGCAGCAGTCTGTGGAGTCTCTCGTCCGACTGCTAGAGACATACAGAGGAAGAGATAAAGTCGTGAGTCTTCACTAAACCTCATTTTTATCCAAAGGTTGTGAAAACACCTAGGTTGATACATCTGTAGGAAATAATCTAGTTATTTATTTTCTTAATGAGTAATTTAATGCATTTTACCCCAGTGATTTTAGCACAAACTATGATTTTGAATTAGTCTGTATGACGGACTGAATTGACCAAACGTTTCTATGGGATTTTGATTTACGTTTGTTTCTCTCAATATAAAATGTATAAAACTTTGACCAAAGCTTCAGGTGTGTGCCTGTGTCTGGTGAATTTTTGGTTCAAAGAAACTTGCTCTTCATTTAATCGGTAGAGTATTAATAAATTGTAGTAAGAGTAGCACTAGTTAAGAAATAAAATTACTCAAGTAAAAGTAAAAAAAAAAAGTAATAGTAATTTTTTTCCAAAACGTTACTCAAGCAAACTACTGCCCAGCTCTGGTGTTGTACAATTTTATTAATATTTTTCTGCTTTTTATAAATCTAATCTTGATTTTCATCCTTTTCTTTACCTTCTGCCTGCAGATCAGGACGTTCTGTTATGGCTCTCAGCTGGTCGGAGGAGCTCTTACCCGAAAAGCAACAGCAGCAGATGTGTCATCTCAGCGACTTGGGAAAAGTTTGCTTCTGTTTTCTGCTCAGCTCAGCCACTGCAGGACGGTGCTGAGGCTGTTTGATGATCTCTCCATGCTGGCGTACTCCCACAGCTATGGACTCGGTGCTTCGGTGATTCAGAACAAATGTTGCTTACATGTCTGCACAAGACCCATCTTTCCTGTTGATACTCACTAGATTCTTGTTTCAGGAGGAGGATGCAGGCGTTCGCTGGATATCGGTGCTTATGAACGTGGCTGACCAGCTGTACTATCCGTGTGAACATATTGCTTGGGCCGCAGACGCAGAGCTGATCAAAGTGAGGTCTGATAAGTGGTGGCTGTTCAGCGTAGCGCTGTGGGGAACCTCGTTGTTACTGGGGATCCTCAGGTGAGACATCTGCACTCAGGTATCGGGACACATCAGCTGAGTTATCTGCTTCTGTTCTTCCGTCCACAGGAAGGGTTCTGGAAAGTAACATGTAACTATGCATTGCAGAAAACCTGATTAAAAATTATATTTAATAAGAAACTCAGTCATGAAAGCATGAACTAAATTAAGAAAGTTGTTGAAGTACAAAACTATTATGAAAAGACTCAAATGACAGTTTTAGTGCAAATTTTTATTTCTCCAGATCGTTTCGAGTTCTGCTGTTGCTCAGGAAGAAGCTGAAGAAACACCACAGAGGCGAAGGAGGCAGCAGGTTTTTACTTAGCATGTTACATTTTTTTTATTTCAATTATATTTGCTTTATTATTAAAGCAAGCTATGCTTCCAGTCTATTTAAGCATTTAGCAAATATAAGTTTTTTGTTTGTTATCTTGTCTTATTTATGTTTACCTTTCAAACTAATTTCTCTGTATTAGAAATATACAATTCTCCGATGCTCAGCAGATCTTTTCTCTCCTGCAGACGGTCTGACCTTCACAGACAGACACGAGCGGAGATGCTCTCCATCCTCAGCAGCATGGCGGACCTCAGTAACGCCGTTCACTGGATGCCGCCAGGCTTTCTGTGGGCAGGACGATTCCCCAGCTGGCTGGTGGGCTTGATGGGCACCACCTCCTCTCTAATCGGTTTGATTCAGATGAATACCAGCAGCAATGAGCTGCCAGACAGCACAGCATTGTCTTCACAATCAGGAGGAGATGCTAATTAACTGGATGATGAACAGCTTCTTGATTTGATCAGATAATCTGTTTAGAGTAATTTCTACTCCTGTCTCCAGTAGGTGAATACAGAAAGTGTTAGCTACCTGAAATGTTTTTGAAATTATGAGAGTAGTCTATGTTTTAAATATATTTGGAAATTTTGTTTCTCTTCTGTTCTTTAATTTATTTAGGTCAAAGTATGAAGACCTTTTAGCTTATGCCATGTTGTCTGGCTGATTCTGTTTATTCATTGATTTTAGATTCCTCGCAGGTTCCTGGTGAAATTGGAAACCTGTGTTTCCCAATAATTTGATTAATGACAACTTATGATTGAACAAGGAGGGTGTTTTTTTTTTAAACCACAATCTCGGTCAGTTGTTTCAAATATTAAAATTTATGAGGAAAAAGAGGAAAACGGAAAGAAATATGTAAGGGAGCGATATTCTAACAGCTCCATTTTAATAATGCTTCAGACATTTGCAATGCTTCAGACAATGTTTCTCCACAAACAATGTGGAGAAGCTGAATGGTTTTATTTAGATGAACGTATATTAAGCAAAATTAGCTTATGTGGATAATATTTCAGATCTTTGAGTCGTCTATACATTCAGTTAATTGCAAAAATAGATGTTTTGCATAGAAGAACGAGTAAAGAACATGAAAGGTAGATATGTAATGTTATCTTGACTTCATGACAAAATTTAATCCATGTTTATTAATTTATGATTTTTAAAAAAATTAAAGCTAAAATCACTTGTTCTGTTTTGTTTCATTATGTTTTTTTTGGGGATTACTAACCAAAGAAGGCTGGTATTTCAAACTTTTTCAAGATAAATAGATTGAGATATTTTTTCTTAAGTCGACTTCTGTCTACCTGAAATAGATACAGAAACACAAAAGAAGATACTTGCATTCAAGTATGCAGTAAAAGTTTTTAACACCAAAATGAAAGAGTGACTATGTATGCAACATTATATTAACCAACTAACTGCAAATTATACAAAAAATAAAAAAATACAATAGGTCTTGACTTTCTTAATCGAAATATCGACATTTGATTAATCGGGACTTGGACGCAGGACGGTTGACGTGGGTCACTGTTGCATTTGAAGCGGCTCGTAAATTAAGTTTTAACCTGAGGTAAACTTGCTCATATGAGATATTATGTTTCATATCTATTCTCTAATGCTAGTTAGATGCAACTTAATAAAAAACTGGATGGATTTCTGTATAAATTTAACTATGTACGTATATAAAATGGGCAGAGACAGAATTTGTAAGGATTTTTTGAGAAGTTACGAGGGAACTTGAACGCCGCAGCAGGATAGTGGTGGCCAATAAATAAAACAGTCACTCGACAGCAGCTGTAGCTTTAAAAGTTAGTCCGATTTACTCGGAGAAAACTGTACAATAGTGAGGCATTCCGTTAAATTGCTACCTATGTCAGAATTACTGATGTCAATAGTATGACGGACAAAGTATACACAGAAGTTGTGGAGAGGGTTAAAGTTCCTAAACACGTCGACTCGTCGGTCGTGGCAGCGACAGTTGTGTCTGTCTGGACACAAAGGAGGCGAGAAAGATTTCTGACATCCGGTGGGAACTGTTTTTATAGCAGTTATGGTGTTTTATGTGTTCATTATTTTAGCTTTCATGTCTACTAAGGTAAATACTGTAAAGTGGAACAGTTAGCATCTAGCTAGTAATAATGCTACTTTAGTCAGGCTGGTTATGGACTTAAAAGGAGTTCTGCTTTTATTAGTTTATCTTAAAATTGTTTTCCCCTTACTTATGTGAAGAACTATGGATTTCTCCAGAAGCACAGTGTTTATTTGAATCCTTCTTGTGTTTTTACAGTGAAACTCATCTAATTTTACTGCTTATTTCACCAACTATATCTGTATAGTAGGTATTAGTTACACAATCGATAATTATTATTTTGTGTCACAAACGATATACCGGTGCATCTTAATAAATGATAAAATGTCAAATACTTTATTGGAGTAATTTCATAAAAAAAAGTTACTCTTTTTTTTAACTCAGTTCAAAAATATTTTAATGATCCTAAAAGATAATCAAATGTCATCTAAGTATCTTCAAAGAGTTGTGATGCTGTGCAGGGGGGAAATCTGGTAGCAGTCAGTGTTCCAACAAATCAGAGGAGGCTTCTTTGTGAAGATAGTCACTCTTGACTGTCATGACATACTTGCATGTGAACAACAGACAGGTCACCAGTCTTCAGACTAATTGGAGTTATGCGATATAACATTTCTTTGAGCTGATGAAATTTATGGTTGCAGTCACTTTAAGTCACATGTGTCGAACTCAAGGCCGAATCTGACCTGCTGTAGCTTTTTATGTGGCCCGCTAGACTCCTGATGGCTACATAAAAATAACCTTAAAACATTTGTTTTTTTGTCAATCAGAGACAGGGTCAGCTATTTCTAAATATTTTAATAGTTTAATTGGTTTTATAAATATATTCTGCCACTACTGGTCCTTTGAGGACATTCATAATCTGCTGCAAGTCATAACCTTAACAAAAATAGATGCTTGAAATATATCACTCTGTGTTTCTAAGTTTCCAGTTTTTAATTAAATTACTGAAATAAAAGTTCTTTTCTTTCATACTGTCATTTATTGATAACTACCTATGACAGTTTTAGTGTTTTTCTTTATAGGAATCCTTCCAGAAGATTCTGCCGCATTGTGATTGCAGTACAGTTTCTGCTCGGTAATGCCATCTTATCCTTGACACAAAATGGACTCTGACTGCTTCCCGGATCATCAGTCTACATCTACGCTTGCAGATGGCCCGCTGTCTGACTTTGACCCCGTTATTGGTGCCTCAGTGGAGGGAATCAGTGTGCTTCCAGAGGCAGAAGACCTTGATACCTACAGTCTAATTGTTCCTCCTCCTCTGGACTGGAGGTCCGACTCCTCTAGCGAAGCCGGTTCTGCTCACGATCCGGAAGACTCCAGCCTGCCTCCCTCTGCTGACCTCCTGGATCTGAGCACCCTCGGAGAGTCAGGATCCCCTCCTCTGATCGGGGAAGACTCGTCGACTCCGGTCCAGTCGTACCAGCAGGTGCTTCTGGGAAATGCATCAGAGTCAGGCCAGGCTATAGAAGTTAAAGTTGAAGACGCAAATGTTCTAGCTGCAGAGGAAACGACTCACAAGGTCTGCATAGGTTCTGAGGAGGTGGCTAGCGAAGAAGAGGCGGAGGTTTCAAACAGGAGATCAGGTGATGAGGATCACAGCCATATTCACGACTTGCTCACCCAGCTTCAGATGAGGGACACAGAACGCCATGACAATCACTACTCCAGTCTGGCTGAACAGGAAGTGTGCGGACACTCCATGCTAACTCAGAGCACTGAAACCACAGGGCTGCTTTTCTCCGAAAGCCACCAGCGAGACCTGCTGGGACTGCTGCAGTGCACAAGGATCGGTTCTACAGCCCATCCGTCCCAGCTGCCTCTCTTTGGCAACGTCGACGCCGTGCTCTCCGTTTCCTACAGCCAGGAGGATCCTCGCAGATGCTGGAGGCAGAGCACAAACGGTCAGCGATGCAGGGAAGACTCTGTCGGTTCGCTCCCCGATGACGAGTACCCCGAACCCGTCTGGATGAAGCTCGGGGAGGAGCCGCCAGAGGATGAGGCTGGTGCTGAAGGAGAACAGGTTGGTGTAGAAATGACTAAAACATAACCAAGACATTAACCCGACTGGGACGTTCATTTCTGAGGTGGAGTAGTAATAATCTCACATCAAATTGATGCTTCGAATATCGTCAGAATCCCAAACATTTTTGCAAAACATGTTTCTATCTAATTATCAACTTCATTTCAATCAATATTTTTATGTCTTAAAGACAACAGACAAATGAGTATAATTTGCTCATTTTTAATTTTTAAAATTCTTTCCATTGGTTTTGGATTCACAGTTTGTTTTTAATTTGATCTTCTTTCACACTTATGACTTAAATTTATTAATTGAGGCTTCAATTTACTTTTCAAAGAGCGCTGATGACCACCCGTCCTATAAAGATGGTGAGTCAGTTTTTCTTTGTTTCCCCTTTGATGAGATCTTTATGCCCGCTTAGGCTGAGTTTTTGTTGTTTTCTGATGTAATGTGTTGCTGTTTCAGTGCCTGGTCCTTGTGACCCTGAAGACCTGCTGGACGGCGTTATATTTGGAGCCAAGTATTTGGGCTCCACTCAGCTCAAATCGGACAGGAACCCTTCCACAAACGCTCGCATGACCCAAGCTCAGGAGGCTGTTGACAGGATTAAGGTGAATAATAAAATCACATCAGATTCAGAAGGACAGCACTTCAGTGTGGCCTGTAGAAATGAATGGGTTTCCAGTCGTAACCAGTCCAGTTCTGATGCTGCTGGATTTGACTGCGGTGTGTTTGCGTCTAGGCTCCAGAGGGAGAGTCCCAACCGATGACCGAGGTGGATCTGTTCATCTCCACAAAACGAATCAAAGTGCTTACAGCTGACACACAGGTGCTGAAAGTTTATCATAACAAGTCTTTATGTTTTCCACCTCCCTAGAAAGGTGCAACAAAGTGAATTTAAATATCACAGAGAAGCTAATTTATAGTACTAATTCAATGGAAAAAGTGAAACTTTTATTATTGAGAGTGATATATTTCAAATGTGTCTTATTGTCTATTATGATGATTATTGCTTACAGACAAACTGAATCATAAGTGTATGGGAGAATTTTTCTGCCTTAATTTGAAAGCACACATATTCAGTCTGAAAGCAGAACTTCAAGTCTTTTGTTCTCAAAACCTGTAATGCTTGTACTCAAATCTTCTGCTCTTTTTCAAATATTCACTGTTCTTTTTCAAACCTTTCTCCATATGCTCAAAACTTGTCTCTTTTTGCTCACACTCGAAACAAAAAAGTACAGTCGCCTGGGAACCTCTCAGCCAATAGAACTAAAGTGTTATACTGGGTGCATTTGTTTCCTTTTAGTGGGAGTGGCTGTGGTGCGCTAAATGATAAAATTAAATTTGATGAAGCTTCGAGGCAGATACATTTTCCTCGAGGAACTATAATAATCGAGGTACTCGAATCATTCGAGGAATCGTTTCAGCCCTAATCTGAAGGCTGTTAGCGACCATTCGCGCAATTCTCGCATATGTTTTGT